GTCAAACGATGGAACTAGCTGTAGCTCAATTCTGGTCCAGTGGCCTTGGAAGTCGTGAACCAACTGTCGTTGACTTTGAGGTAGGAACTCAGAGTTATACATATATGTTCGTGTATGTGCTAACATCAAATTTGTGTGTTGTCTTGTCTTTTGTGTCGTCGTGTGTCAGGTAATGAATTCCAAGTTACCATTTTCGGTCTTTTGTCCCCACTTTTTTCCCTACTGGTCTCCTGACGTTTTTGAGTTCATCTTTCTAGTGTATTTCATGTTAGCGCATTGCTTATTTCTTTCTGCAATTTGGTTCCTTACCAGTTTTAGCCTCTCTTTAGATGTTACGTTTTTGGTATCTACAATCAATTCTTCAGGTGCATTCTCATTTAGGAATAGTTGTGGAAACGAATTAAGATAAATATATATAAGTGTTATGCGTCAGTATTCATCGTGTCAGCTAATGTTATGAACGAAGTTCTATGTTCAAGTCGTTCACGCCTTCTAACTACACTGATTACTAAGTACAATGCGACTTTCTAGACATGAGTTGATGCAATTTATTTTTGGTATTTTAGATTGCATTCCACGGAATTGGTGTCAATAAAGAAGAGTTGATACTTGATGGAAGTGAAGCACCAATAAAAGTTGAAGCTGAAGCACTATTGGCATCTGAAAAACTCATTCCCATAGCTGTTCTGAACAAGGTACAGCACTATTGGCATGTGAATGTTTTTAGAATTGCTTATCGACAGTGGTTTATTTTGACGGCAGATACGAGTTCCCTATCAACCTGTTGATGCACAACTTAAGACTCTATCAACTGGCCGCGATAGACTACTGTCGGGCAAACAGATACTGGCATTGACATTAACGTGGGTTATGCTTTTGTTTCTTGCCGTTGTTGCTTGCCTATCTCTTTATCAAGACTATTACAGTTAACAAGCTCTTTTGTTTCTGCAGCTACAAGTTCAAATTAGAAGATGCAGCTGAAGTGAAACCATATATACCCTTATTGAACAATCGCATATATGACACTAAATTTGAGTCCCAGTTCTATATGATCTCTGATGCCAACAAGGTACTAATTCTGTACAAGTATAGATAATCTTGTAAAATTTTCATTGGCATTGTCTACTAAACACGCTTTTCTTCTTTTGTGTGTAGCAAATTTTGTTTTGTCTTGCTTATATATTATTTTCTTGTCTTAAGACGCTGTACTGACATACTTTCAGCGTGTATATGCAATGGGTGACGTTTATCCTGAGTCTTCAAAACTTCCCAAGGGTGAATATAAACTTCAGCTGTATCTGAGGTTTGTGCTAAATCTTTGATGATTGCATCTTGTTTCTTGTTCTGAAAATTGAAGGGTTGAGTTTGTAAATACTAACCCCCAGGCAGAAATGATCTTTTCAACATGACTGGTTGACAACTTCCTGTAATCTACATTATTATGTGGTTAATAACTTTGTTTCACAGTGTATATTTACGTATTTTGTCTTCTATTCTAAAATCTAATTGCTTTCACCAGGCATGAAAATGTGCAGCTGCTGGAAAAGTTGAAGCAGCTAATTGTGTTCATTGAAAGAAATATTGGGGTGAGTTTGTGAATTACGCTTTACTTTATTTTGAAAAGCTACATGTAATATCTGTCTGGGAAAGGAAGTAGAACTACGGAACAAGTTGGAGTTCCATTTTCACCGGGTTTCTGGTCTATATATATATAGACACGTTTGCAACATTGGAATTCATGACAAGCTGATTATTCCATCGATTTTGCTGGTGATGCAGGAGGTTCGGCTGAGCTTACATTCTGAACCAGATGGCCCCGTCACAGGAAATGGTGCCTTTACATCTTCTATTCTAATGCCAGGGTACTCTTTTGGTTCACTTACTAGCATATATTTCTCCGACTGCTGTACTGGTTGAAATCTGAACATGTTCCTCACCTCATTTATCACCATGCAGGGTGAAGGAAGCGTTTTATCTTGGCCCACCAACAAAGGATAAGATACCCAAGGTTTAGTAGATTGTTGGTATAATAAATGTTCTGATGCCAGCATATCTCTTTTAAATGTACAATTTTGATTTTACCTGCAGAATACTCCACAAGGATCTGTGTTAGTGGGAGAAATCTCATATGGGAAACTGTCTTTTGATGATAAAGAACAGAAGAATCCGAAGGATAATCCTGTTTCTTATCCGATATCATACGTGGTTCCACCAAATAAGGTATCTAAAAAGCTACCTTTTCTGGTCTGGTTTGTCTGTTAGAATTGGCTTGTGATACTTGATGCACTAATGCCAGAGCAATCTGGCTACAAGAGCTCATATTTTGTGTTTAGATTAATCTATTTGTTTCCTTGTATTCCAGTTGTTTTGAACTTTTTTTTGTTATTTTGTTCGTTATACAATAGCCTGAGGAAGATGAGAAGGCGGGTTCTGCTTCAAGTAGCTGTAAATCAGTTTCAGAACGCTTGGAAGAAGAGGTAATCATGTTTCGTAGTGGCACTTGCTAAACGTTGTGGTCGATTGCTCTATTATATATGATCGATTCGAGTACTTGTTGGTGGATATTAGGGGTGGGTTTTCTTTTCTACTACTGTTTTACGAAAGCATTTCCTTGTAATTAGGTTCGTGACACAAAGATCAAATTTCTTGGGAACCTAAAACAAGAAACGGAGGAAGATCGTTCCGAGTGGAGAGAGTTGTGTTCATGTCTCAAGGTTTGCGAGCTTAAGGATTTTGTTGTCGTTTCAAATAATGATTTATGCCACTTTAACTAGAAAGTTCTGTAAAAAAATATGCAAATCTGAATTACTGCTTAGATTAACTGTGAGCATATGTTCCTTGGCAGTCTGAATACCCAAACTCTACCCCATTGCTTGCTAAGATATTAGAAAGTTTGCTATCTCGATCTGAAGCTGGGGACAAAATCAGCCATCAAGAAGAGGTAAAGTTTCAAATGAGTTTACTAATCTTAAAATCATGCACTACACTCTCTACCGACGCATTTAAATATTACCTTCAAATTAAAAACGCTTAATAATCTTCAAATTACTAATCTCGAGTTTATAGATGGTGACTATTTATCATGTAAGCTGAAAATCTTTTCCTTTGTTCTTTTGCAGATTATAAATGCTGCTAACGAAGTAATAAACAGCGTTGACGTGGACGAGTTAGCAAGATTCTTACTACAAAAATGTGAACCAGAAGATGAGGATGCGGAGGTGTGATGTCTTATTTGTTGCGTTCTCGTACAGAAGCATAATATTCCTGACTAGCTACTTGCTTTTTTTTACGCCGTCTCTGATTACCACCTGTTGTATAAATTTAGAATTTAAAGAAGAAAATGGAGATGACCCGTGACCAACTGGCAGAAGCACTATACCAGAAGGGGTTGGCCTTGGCAAGACTCGAGAATTTGAAGGCAAGACCAAATATTTTATCTGAATCGTTACCTGTTTATTCATTTATCTGAGTATAAGATATAGTAATGTGTTAGTATTTTGTTAGCTAACAATAATATTGGGCAATCACACACCACTCATGTGTTTGCAGGGTAAGGACGAAGATGAAGGAGGAGAAGAAGTAGAAAGTAGCCAAAAGGATAAATTCGAAGAAAATTTCAAAGAACTGGCGAAATGGGTGGACGTGAAATCATCTAAGTTCTGTACTCTCACTGTTCTAAGAGAGAAACGGCTCTCACGACTCGGGACAGCATTGAAGGTAAACACGTTCATGTGAATCTTTAAATTTACCATGAGAAACTGCAAATGATGTTCATATGAAATCACTGACTCACATGTACTGATAAAATGATATTTACAGGTACTTGATGAGATGATCCAAAACGAGAACGAGATAGCTAATAAGAAACTGTACGAACTGAAACTGGGTTTGCTGGAGGAATTAGGTTGGAGCCATTTGGTTACGTATGAGAAGCAATGGATGCAAGTTCGTTTCCCTACAAGCTTGCCTCTCTTTTAGCCCTTTGATCCTTTTAGTCACAAGCAATTGTTCAGTAAAGTGCCCTTCAGTAAAAGCTTTGTTCTGAAACCCAAACTACTGTTTAATTTTCTCTTTCTTCATAAACTCTACGACTCTTTTGTTATCAAACATTCATCGTCTGAATAAAATAAAAATGATTGTTTTATTTGCCAAATTAGAAGCCACTCGGATGAAATATATGTATATTTCCTTTAATAATTGTGTGGCTGTTACATCATTGTAGTTTTGGATAGATATGTTTGTTAAGAGCGTAGAATTTAAAATAAAAATAATGAATATACTTGTATGATGAGTCTCTCAGTGTGGTGATAGTACAATATTTTATATACTTCAGTTACTTTTAAAACTATAATTTGACATTTGAAGTGATCGCAATCATATAATAACATTTAGATGATAACAAAACTAAACCTCGTTAACTAACTCGACTGAATGCTCTGTTTCTGACACAAAATCTCGAATCTTTTTGGTCATTAGCCAATGATTCAGAACAAAACAAAACAAAAAAAACAATCTCTAGAACACATGTAAAAGCATCGATGCAACTACCGTGACTCCTCCGGCAATTGACCACCGTTTCGCCGTCCCCCGCTCAGGCACCCCCTTTCCCTTCGCAACTGCGACCAAATCAGGTCTAAAAGTCAACACTTAAAAATCATCCATTACACAAAAATTACAGGTCAGAAGAACACGGTCAAGATTCAACCGTTAACTACTCCAAAACCAAACACTAAATACAGTAAACAACCACCATTTCCGCCATGAATTTCAAAACCATGTAACTAACTGTCAACATCAGAAACTTTGACTTATTACATATCTGTCTCTCTCTCTCATACACAACCAATCTAGGCAGACTTAAAAGTTCCATGAAAACATAGAAAACTATTCAATATACAATATCCAAAACCATACATTCCATATTTGCTTCACCAAATCATTACATTAAAAAAGTAAAAACCAATCTATAATATGAAATGACAAATAATATTATATCTTGATTATGCCTTACTTGGCAAGGTAGGTATACTCTGTTCATTCCTGAAAAAATTCCCCGGATCCACCTCTGTTTTAATCTTCACTAACCGATCAAAGTTCTTCCCAAAATACATCCTCCCATACACCTCTCCTTCCTTATAACTATCCTCCCCATGATCATTCACCCCAATATCCACATCACGGTAGTTCAAGTAAGCACCTCTAGGGTTCTTACTCACAAACCCCGTCATGAAACTATAAAGCACTTTAGCTTGGTTCAAGTAACCTCTCTCCAACTCCGGAGACGATTCTTTCCAGTTAACAGAGTACTGAATCTTGTAAAGCATGTTTCTATGCGGAAACGGCGTCGCATCATCCGCTATCTCCGCCATTCTTCCACCGTAAGGGTTGAAAACTAGTCCTATCTTCCCTAACTCAATCATCTTATTAAACAAAGACTCGATCCCCTTTCTAGGAATCTCTGTCTCCACGTAATCAGACTTCCTCTTCCCGAAGCTGGAGGAGTCAAGATTCCGATCAAGAAACACTTTAGGATCGGTCTCAGTCGCGTTGACGCGATTGTCCCACCATAACGCAGACTGGTACCAAGTCATCTCCGTACAATTCTCCTTCTTTAACGCCAATTCAGGAAGCTCTTTCTCAAGTAGCGAAACGACGTCGTCTGCTTTCCCTAAGAAGAGAGCCACCACAGTGGCTCTCACCGTCTTCACTTTGTTCCTCGTAACCGGTTGGATCAGCATCCTCATGAAGAGATTCTTGTCGGTTTTCGGACCAACGAACTGCCACTTGTGAACCATGTCCACCGCACCGGAAGCCATTAACTGCTCCACTCGGAAAACCGTCACGGTTTCTGGTACGGGCACGAGTTTGACTTTATAACCCAAAACGACGCCGAAGCTTCCTCCTCCGCCGCCGGAGATAGCCCAGAAAAGATCTTCCCCCATCGCTTTCCGGTCCAAAACGGTGCCGTTCACGTCAACCATCTTCGCGTCGATGAAATGATCCACTGTCAACCCGAACTTCCTCACCATGTTGCCGTACCCGCCGCCGCTCAGGTGACCTCCGACGCCGACCGTCGGACAAACACCCGCCGGAAAACCAAGAACCTTGCTTTTCTCCCAGATTTTGTAGTAAACCTCGCCGAGAGTGGCTCCGGCGGAGATCCAAGCCGTCTGGCCGGAGATATCTACAGACACGTCGCGGAGGTTGAACAAGTCGAGGATGAAAAACGGTTTGTCGGAGATGTAGGAGAGACCGTCGTAGTCGTGGCCGCCGCTTCGGATCTTGAATACGTAATTCAACGGCTTGGAGCAGAGGACGGCGGCGCTGACGTGGCTTTCGGAGAGAGGAGTGACGATGATGGTCGGTTTGGGAGTGGAGGAAGTGTTGAACCTCGCGTTGCGGATGTAGGCGCGGAGGACGGAGGTGTAAGAAGGATTGGTCTGAGAGAAGACGATTTTGGAGATTTGGGATTGTGGAGTTTTGGTTTTGTCGGAGAGGCATTTGAGGAAGGAGTCGTGGACTGATGAGGAGGAGGACATTGGTGGTGGTGGTGGTTGGGAGAGAGAGGAGAGAGGTTGTAGAGAGAGGAAGAGGAGGAAGAAACCGACAGAAGAGACAGAGTTTGGTCGTGTTGTGAGCATTTTTCTTTTTTTTTTTGGAGTGAAGATGCTTTTTCTTGGCTCTCGTGTTGCTTTGTTCTGTGCAATTATTCGGTTTATTTATAACCGTATAGAGAGAGAGAAGATATGTTTCGCAAGTAAAGTTTATTTCTACTAGTAGTAGTTTTGTATTTTAATTCCTTGAATAGCAAACATAAATAAAAGAGATTAGGGATATGATTAAGGATTATAGATATTAACACTCATTTATTTGTTTTTCTTATAAATTATAAATTTATTATAGTACATAAATTTGCAACGAATAATTTTATGTATTATAATTATTCATGTGTGACAATACCATTTGATGAAGACTTATGTTTAACAAATGTATTTACATCATTATCTCAAAAGTTCTATGTACAGTTTTTATCAGTTTATACAGCTAATATAATAATCCATGTTTTATGAGATTGTAATCCTAAAATTCTGTGTGTAAAAACATTGGTAATTGTTATCATCGTTTAATCCAAAAACTGAGAATTGTGTATGTGCATGGAGTCACACACCCAATCAAAAAAAGTAAAAGATGAATCCGGCTCTAAATTTACACTTTATTACCGTTTTCTACGATAAACCGTTTGTTTCATTGAATGTCATTTTTCTTCTTCGCTTGTTTTAGAGTCAATGGTCAATGTCGGTAACTGGTTCCGATTGAAGGGTTTGTGGCCTTGTAGTGGAGGAAGGAAAAGTTCAAAGAGAAGACTTTAAACAACGTGGTCGTCGTATCCGTATCATTATTATCATTATTTTGATCGTATCCTATATATCGCACTAACTAATGGGCTATATAGCCAAAAAAATGTAAATTAGATTTATATAGAGATAATAGAGAAAGATAGGAAAAGAAATTAGGAGAAAGAATGTGATTTTGATTATTTAGTAAATTTATATTTTTTTAATGGCTGTTAAACCTAATTTCCTCTAACTAATTATACCTAATTTCCTCTAACTAATCATACATCTTTTTTTCCTTAAAATGTATACAACTTTTCTTTCAACCATAAAAAGTTATAACTTTTTCATGAAAAAATTGTCTGCAATTTTAGTTTGTTCGGGTTTATTTTCTAGCAATCTTATAAAATCACATTATTAATTTCTTGTTTAAGTTCTTTCAATGTATTTCATCTATAGCAACTAGACATTCTGAAATACTCATCAATTAATAGTTTTCGTCAACTAGGACCAGATATTATATCCTATATTTAAAATCAAATTTCGATCCAAAAATTTTAAATTCTACCTAATCTATAGAATATTAGAATGGATATTAAATTAAATGAGATTAATTTCTGAACCGACCGAAATATCTGATACAAGTGGATATCCAAAATATTTGAAATATATATATATATATATATATATTAACTCTAAATCTCTAATAATTTAGATTCCTTCATTTTCTTTTCATAGTTTATGCTGAATTTAATTATGTCTCTGCTCCAAATTTAATGGTCCATCTTTAATTATTCCACATCTTTCTATCTTTTATTCATAAATTAAATTAATTTTGATTTTATTATTTAAAATAATTTTTCAGTAACTGAACCTAATCAAATCCTATATTGAAATATCCAAAAATCTAAAATAATCGATCCTAATTCGAACATATATACAAACACTTACCACTATAGTTAATCATCGAAAGGAGAGATGAGACGCATTAGTTTCTATTTTCACCCATAATTATATGAGTCACATTGTAAGTTGTAGTTATTTATACTCAATTAATTTTCAAGTTTGATATTTAGGACTTGTAAGTCTTCTTATGTTGAGTAAAGTCACCTTCTGCAACTTTATATAAATGTCCAATAGACAGATAAAATAAATTATTTTAATAAACAATATCCTACTAGTAATATTTGTATTTTTCTGGACAAAGTTATTGGTATTTATGCTGACAAAAATAAATTATTAGTATTTGTTTCAAGGTCAAACGGTAGTTTTTAATAAGATGCATATTTTGTTGACCAGTCAGTATAAAAAATTCAGGGGAATTCACGATGCAGTTCCACTGTCTATTTGTAATTTTTAACCACAAACTTTGAGATATTCACGTGGCCAATTTGATAAAACAACTGCAGACATGAAAACCCTAAGTCATGCAAAATGGAGAAGCTTACTTGAGAATATAAAGAAAAATGGAGAAAATTAACAATACTCAAAAAACAAAAGAACAATATTCAATGTGATACCGAGCCGATTTTTCTTTGATTTTTAGTTATTATTAAAGTTGAAAGTGAAAGGGGTCTTATTTGTGTGGCTTACATAAGAAAACGTTTGTGAGTAACTTGTAATATGGTGTTAAAAAAAAAAAAAAAAAAAAGAGTAACTTGTAATATTTGTTAAAACCACATGGATATGATCGGATAGTGTAGACGTCTCCATGTTCCTAAAGGACCTGGATTCGAATCTCTGCTACTTCAGTTTTATCCATTCATGTAGCCAGACAATAGAGATATTTAATTTCTTTTGTGAACAACTGAATTTAACTGATGCCAGATAATCAAGTTTCCAGAGAATTAGTTTTGGATCTTGACCTTCCTAATATTTCTGAGTTATCAAAAAAAAAAAACTGGAATATATGTTTAAGGAAAAAAAAAACAACTTAGTATATGCGTTCATGAGTTCATTTCACAATAACGTGTTTTTCTTCAATTTGTTTTGTCAAAGAATAACGTGTTTTTCTTCCTTGCCTGTTTGGTTCTTTTTGGCCGGAATGTAACACTTTTTCAAAGAAGTTTAGCTTTGTAATTATTATTCTTAGCTTCAATATGCGGCGCATGCGGTGGCTTCACAAAACATAAAAATATTATCGTAAACCTGGTGTTCTGATAGAAATCTAGTGTGCTAAAACATTTCCCAATCGATTAATTAACTCTAAAAGAACAATTCATTACTCGTGAACAAGTAAAACTAAACTATAGACAAAAGATTACCAACCAAAAAAAGGGAAATTTTGGGCACAAGGCTTATTCTTACTAATATTTTGAGTTAGATGGAAAAGTACTCTCCTTATTAAAGCAGGGGTAGTAATAGATATAACCAAATGAAACATTTCATTTAGTCCTCAAATTTAAAAAGATTAATAGCATATTTATATAATATTGTGATCCTTAAATTATACAAATATTTTTATTATAATCTATTTAAAAATATTTATGTCTCCTTAGATTTGACGGTCAACTTTGCCTTAGATATTGATAACTGATCAATTTTCTTGACAAATTGATGATTCTTGTTTCTGTATTATTTATATATTATTATACGTAATAAGTGATAGATAAATATTATTTTTCATAATACTGATATAGGTTCTCGGATATACATGTATTATTCATCACTGAAGATAGTGGATTGGTTTGGTGAAAAAGATTTGTGTGTTTGAAGTAAGGTATCCGACTTTCTACTTCTAGAAGAACTTTTCTTTGTTACAAAACCTTGTTCAGAAAACTCGTGCTTTTAACTTTTTGTAAAATCTAGTCTCCAAAGATATAACCATGTTCCGCTGGCTTCTAAGTTTGACGTTTCAATATACTTTTAGACAGCAAAAAAGACCTAGTTTTGTAAATTTTTTTGCACATAATAAGCAGGTTAATCAGTTTAAAAATCTTAATACTTAAAATAATTTGTTTTTATTAAACTGAAAATGATAGAATGAGATCTGAGAAATAAATCACCGATTGGTCTTAGATATTTTGATTAGCACACCATTTTTATTTATCAGCATTTGTGATATGTCATATGACCACTTCGATTTCTTCTGACGCGATAGCGGCATCAATGTATGTTGTTGCCTCTATGGGTTTACCTCACGTGCAAGTAACTATAACATAGTAATGGGAACTATGTGAACAAATTGAGGCTAATGTTTGTACTCTGACAAGCTTCCTCGCTACAATATGGAAGAGGTGTGAACGTTTCTCAAAACTTTCTCGTTAAGTAACCCCCCCCCCCCATATTTTGTTGTTGAATGAGATCCAACTACAGATTATTACTAAAATAAATGAAATATATTTCAAACAAATAACTTATAGTATACACACTAACACAAACACTCAATAGCACTTCACTTCATCACTCTATATTTTTTCCAACACATAATCTCGAACTCTCATAACACTCGACTCTCTCACATAACATCAACGGAACTAAAAGTAGGAATACTCTGTTCATCACAGAAGAAATCAAAAGGATCAACCCTCGTTTTAACCCTAACCAACCTCTCAAAATTATTCTTAAAATACTTAACTCCCCAACTCTTCCCTTCCTCATACTTACTCCTCTTACCACCAACATACATCCCCAAATCAAGATCCCTTAAATTTATATAAGCCCCCCTCGGAGACCTCGACACAAACTCACTCATCTCATTATAAACTCTCTCCACCCATCTCATATACTTCTCTCTCCCCTCTCCTCCTCTCCAGTAATTCAAGTACTGAATCTCGTACATGTTCCCGTAACGGTGCGGAAACGGCGTCTCGTAATCTTGAATCTCACTCATTCTACCACCAAACGGAGTGAAAATCAGCTGCGCTAACTCTGCCTCCGGTTCTTGCAACCTTCTCCACATCTTCAAAATCGAACTCTCCGGTATTGGCTCTTGAACAAAGTCCGATTTAGCCTTAAAAGCCAAAGACGCACGTGTCCGTTTCCCAAGAACATCAATCGACACGTCACCTAACTCAGCGAACCAAACAACAGACTCAATCCACGTCATCTCCTGACAATCACTCTCCTCCAAACCGAGTTCAGGAAACTCCCGGTTTACTAACTCCAACAAACTCTTAACCGAACCGAGATACAAACCGGGGAAAGAAGCTCTAACCCTATCCCTAAACCTCTGCAACATAACCCTCACGAACAAGTCATCATCCACTCTGTCGGAAACAAACTGCCAACGATGCACGATCTTCACCGCGCTCTGTTCTTCAAACTTCGTGACGTTAAAGACCGTCACCGTCGACGGAACATCGACTAAACCGATCTTCCACGAGAGCACGACGCAGAAGCTGGACCCGCCGCCTCCACGTATCGCCCAGAAGAAGTCTTCACCCATCTCTCGCCTCTCAAGAACCCTCCCTCGCGAGTCAACCACACGTGCGTCCACCACGTGGTCAGCAGCTAAACCGTGTTTTCTTAGAAGAGTACCGTACCCTCCGCCGCTGAAGTGTCCTCCGACGCCGACGGTGGGGCAAACACCGGCGGGGAAAGCTAAGGTTTTATTCTTTTTACCTATCTCGTAGTATAGTTCACCGATGGTTGCTCCGGTTTGGACCCAAACCGAGCGGTTATCGATGTTTAATGTGATGGACCGGAGGTTTTTTAAGTCGATGATCACGAAGGGTTTGTGTGACACGTAAGATAGGCCTTCGTAGTCGTGACCTCCGCTTCGGGTTCTGATGTGGATACCGAACCGGCGTGCGCATTTAACCGCGGATTGAACGTGTGAAGGGTGTACCGGAGTTAGGATTAAGACCGGTTTAGGTGTACCGGGAGTGGAGAATCTCGGGTTTTGTATGGATGATGATAAGACTGAGGAGAAGGAAGAGTCGTTTGGTGTGTGTATGACTTTGGAGATGATGTTGGAGTCGTTTAACCGGAAAGATAGACATTGGAGAAAACCGGCGTGGTTAGCAGAAACCGAATGAGGAATTGATAGAAGTAAGAGGATGGTAGTAGTGAAGGAGAGTAGTATAGAGCTAAGGAAGCTTTGGAGTTTCATTGTTTTTTTTTTGTTTCTGCAACAATGGGTGAGTTTTGTTTTGAGTAGAATGAATAAAGAATATGAAACAGGTTTTATTAGGTATAAATAGTCGAATATTTTACTATATTTAAATTTGTTTTCTTGAAGTAAAAGTGAAATTGAAAAGAAAAATTTTTGGTAGTGGGATGTATGAGAAAATGTGGATAGATAAGAATCACACGTATTGATCATAAAATAATAGAGATGGATGTGATGACTGAATGAATGGCATTTGTCATGCATCACTCGTCAGGAGCTGAATCATTGAATGGGACTGTTTTGGATTGATGTGAAAAAATTGGTTTTGTTTTGTAGTGAAGCTATTGAGGTAAATTATCAAGTTCCTGTCTATATAGTTAGGTGTGTGGTGTAAAGTTATATCGACTATGCAGCTGTGAAGGAAACAACAGTTTTAAAATATTATGAACAATCAGTTTTTAGCAAAGAGAGAGTTAACGTTTAAAAAAAAAAAAAAAATTGCATGAATTACTTGCGCTTAACGCAAAAAAAGAAGCATATGGTTTGATCAATTTGAGAGGTTCTGTTGTCAGTTTTGATTTGTGGCGGTTTTGTGGAACGTCAGCTCTAATTGTAATATCACCATGCATTTACTATATTATTGAACTTGATTTACTTAAAGCAATTATTTTAAGCATTTTTAAAAAACAATTTCTAACATTTTTATTCACATGAGGACGATATTTATCCGAATAATGTCGTTTCTAGTTTCTAGCTTTCTAATAATTTTTGAAGGAATCGTAATTTTGGATATGGATAGAGGCGGAAACTAGGGTTGGTTCAGTATTTATGACTACTGAAAGCTATTGATTAGAACCTGATCTTTGTGCAGTAATAAAAACGTGAAAATTTGTAAATTCATTACACGCGGTTGATGCTGAGGCCCGCAATATATTGTGACGTTGATGGTTTACCAAACCTACTTAATAGTATGGGGCCTAAATCGAAACTATAACCATTCATCATCAATTAACTATTCACCATGATAAAACAAAAGCATGTAACTTTTTTTACTTTAATCTTGTGTATTTAGGATTGCGATTATGACTTTTGTAATTGTTAATACGAATTAATCTCTTTTATAGTATTATGACGAATCTAGTAGTTAATTTGAGCCGCCACTCGTGAATCTGCTTACCTGTATCTTAATTTATAATTCTGATCCCTTTGCGAGTATTATGATATACATTGCTAAATGTTAATAATAAATTACATTGCAAAAAGAGGAGGAATACTCTGCTCATACCTAAAGAAATTATCAGGATCATACTTAGCTTTAACATTCATCAATCTCTTCAAATTCCCGACGAAATACTTTGATCCATAGATCTTACCTTCTTCAACATTCGTCACACCACTCGGATTGCTTCCAACATCCTTATCTCTATAATTCAAAAACGCCTTTCTCGGGTTGCTTGACACATACGGTTCAGCCACATCATAGAGTTCCTTCATCAAACCTAGATTAGCTTCTGTGGCGTTTGCGTCTATCCATAACGCAAAGTACTGAATCTTGAACAAGTTTCCTTTCCTGTGAGGAAACGCCGTGGCATTGGTCGGAATCGTGTCCATCACTCCACCGTAAGGGTTCCATTGCATAAACACATGACTGTTGAACTTCAACATTGTTTTCCATAATTTCTCCATACCTTCTTTAGGTATCGGTTTCTTGACGTAATCCGATTTGCTTTTAAAGAACGCTTCTGGTGGATTAGATGGCCTTTTCAGAAGAACACTTGTCGATGTCCCGACCGGGTAGTCGGCCCAAAACGTCGTCGTATTAAGCCAGCTCATTTCGTAGCAATCTTCAAGTTTTAGCCCTAGTTCTGGTAAGTTCTTGTTTATAATCTCCATGAGCTTCTTTGATGAGCCTAAAAACTGAGCGATGAAGTTAACCGCGATGGTTTTATTCGCTCCTTCTGTGGTTTGAGGCATTGCTCTCAAGAAAAGCTCTCTAGGCAACTTGCTAGAGACAAGCTGCCATTTATACAGAACATCCGTTGCTCCTTGTCCTAACGTTTTGTTAACGTTAAAAACTGTTATAGTCTCTGGAACATCAACTAGCTTGATGGTCCACGAGAGGATAACGCCGAAGCTGGCGCCACCACCGCCACGAATCGCCCAAAACAAATCTTCTCCCATGGAGGCACGGTTCAAGATCTTGCCGTTGACATCAACTAGTTGAGCATCAACGACATGATCCACAGAGACTCCGTATTTTCTTATTAGGTTTCCGTACCCTCCGCCGCTGATGTGTCCTCCAGCTCCTAGAGTAGGGCAAACGCCAGCCGCAAACGCGAGCGTTTTGCTTGATTTAGAGATTTTTGTGTAGAGCTCTCCTAGGGTTGCACCAGCCTGAACCCAAGCTTTCTTGCTTGGCACGTCAACGGTAATAGACCTTAGTTTGTTCATATCGAGAACGGTAAACGGCACAGACGAGATGTATGAAAGTCCTTCGTAGTCGTGACCACCGCTTCGGGTACGGATCTGGATGGCGTTGAACTTAGCGCAGACCACGGTTGTCTGAACATGGGATTCATGTTTTGCGGCGACAATAGCTATTAGGTTTGTGTCGTTAGGGTTTGAGTATCTTTTGTTTTTCGCGTATGACACGTACGATGAGTCGAAGGTGGAGTTTTGGGGAGTAAGGATTGTGATCGGATTCTTCGGATTGCTCCGATCACGAAGGCATCGGAGGAAGTTTTCAATATTTGGTTTCTGTACTAGTGCTTGTGATGAAACTGATACAAGCAGAGCAAGAAACAGAACATAAACTACTTTCATCTTTTGCTTGTTTGATGAACTCAAAGTCTATATATTTTGTTTTATGTATTTATTGGCATTGCAATTTATATATTGAAAACTCTGTAGAGAAAATTAATTCGAGAATCTAATTTTAGTTTCACTTTTAGTTACAAACTTAAGAAAACTGGAAACTAGACTAATGAGGGAAAATTAAATACAAGAGATTAGGGAAAAGTAAAGTGTGGTGAAACTTCATTAGTTTAATCAAGAAACATATCTTAGTTTTGTTTAATGAGAATATGTTACTCCCTCCGTTCTGTTATACTTGACGTTTTAACACTTTTGTTTTGTGTCAATTTACTTGACGTTTCCAAACTTCTAGGTAAAATATTGTGAATTTAGACATTTTTTACCCTTTTCTTTTCTGTAGTATTTTCTAGTCAAACTGTTCAAGTTTCAATGTTCAATTAAATCATTGTGTGGGTTTTTACAAGAATAAATT